GGAATGCACTTTCCGATTTTAAAAATGAGCTAGTTTCCTCCTTCTTGACCCCTTCCTCTTCCATTTCTGGGTTTGGTTGGAATTTGGGTCTGAGAAGGGTTGTGAGAGACTTCGACCTAGACATTATTTCGAGTCTCCTCTTTCTTCTTAATAACGATTTCTTGGACCCTACTAAGAATGACTCTAGAATCTGGACCCCCACCCCTACTGATTTTTTCTCCTGTGCCTCTTTCTTTAAAGTGCTATGCCAGCCCTCCAATCATGTAACCTCCCCTTTCCCTGTTAATGAGGTTTGGTGTAGACCAATTCCTCCTAAGGTTGGTAGTTTTTGTTGGGAAGCCTTTCTAGAAAGATTCAGCACTGGTGATCTGCTCCAAAAGAAGAGACCCAATACTTGTGTGTCCCTTCATTGGTGTGTTCTTTGTAAAGCTGATGGGGAGACCAGTTTTCATCTTCTGGTGTCTTGCCAATTTGCAAAGTCTATTTGAGAGTGGGCTTTATCTCTTTTTGGGTGTACTTGGATTCCTCCATCAAATTTTCAAGGCCTTTTTGCTCCTTTTTTCAGGTGGCGTACGAAAAAGGGAATGACTATGTGGAGAGGACTGAGGGCAGTAGTATGTTGGTCTTTGTGGGAAGAAAGAAATTCCAGAATCTTCTCTAATGTAGAGAGAGGTGCTGAAGAGTTGAGGGCCCTGATCCACATAAGGGTTATTCAGTGGATGAAGTCCCTAGAGCTGTTCACAGAATATACAGTAGATGACTTGCTGAGGAAGTGGGGTGAAATTGCTAGTTGTACCCAAACTAAAGCAGGGATGAGTGTGTCTTGGACTCCCCCACCTGTGGGTTTCATGAAACTAAACTTTGATGGAAGTAGCAAAGGGAACCCCGAACAATCAGGGATTGGGGGTGTCTTTAGGGATGAGAATGGGGTTGTTTCTGCCATGTTTTCAGACCCAATTGGAGTGGGTGACTCTCTCAGAGCTGAGATCCACACAATAATGGAAGGTGTCCAGAAAGCTAGGGTGATGAAAATCAGAAAACTCATAATTGAAGGGGACTCGGAGGTGATGGTTGGGTGGCTGAACAAAGAAGATAGTGGTTTATGGAGTTATAGTAATTTGAAGAGAAAATTCAGATGGCTGGTTCGAGAAATGGAAGTTAAAATTAGTTGGGTAAAAAGATCAACTAATTCTTTTGCTGATGGATTAGCTAAACAAGGGGTGGACAGGGATGTCATGTTCTGGGCAAAGATGTAATTTAACTTTCTTCTTTTTTCTGTACTCTCTTTCTCTCTTGTTTCCTCTCTTGGGGCGCTTGATGTAGCTGGAAGATAAGAAAGTTTGTCTTCCTCTCTGTAATTTATTGTGATAATTAATGAATTGTGTTATTGATAAAAAAAAGTGTTTATCTCTCCCTTTCTCTTATCTGTACTTTTTTTCTTTGATAGTTAATGAATACTGATTCTGTTATTGATAAAAAAAATACCATAAAACTGTCCAAGTAGAGCATTTCAAGCCCATAATATGATGCATAAACTGTACAAACATACATATATTAATGTGCTATCAATATAAAATATATTTAATATTTTAGGCCCAGAAGCCCAGCCCAGAGTCTGGGCCAAGCCAGGCCCACAGCCCAGCCTGGCCCATGATCACCCCTTCATCCAAGTCACCAAAATAACTTTATTAGATATTGGTTGATTTAAAATAACCTTGTGATGGAAAGATCTAGGCAGAAAGGACCAATGCCCACCTGAAGATTTCACCAAGAAGAAACCAATGCCTCCCACTTCCAAACCTGTTTCGTCTCTGTTATTGGCAATTGAATATGCATTTTGTAGCCAGCAAAGAGGTCAGTTACATCCACAACTTCCCAATCTTGCAGGTTTCTATAGAATCTCAGGGTTCAAATTCCAAATGGCCTTGTTATCCACCCGCTCATAGCTTTGAGCAACCACCACCTCTTTGTTTATCACATTCTCAAATAATTTTCGGAAAAACTCCCCAAGACAACCATCACCATATCATTCTTCTAACGGTAACCTTACTCTAGATGCATCCCTGAGCTTATATTTGACCCATTCTTTGGATAAAACAAATTATGTAAAAAAAAGTATATCATACCATTGCTTATGATGCAACCAAAGATGACCAGAGTTACAACAAAAAACATATTAACAGCTGTTCCAAATAAAGATCAACTCCATAAAAAATAATAAGTAGAGAAACATACAGTCCGTAGTAACTTCAGTCACAATTTTTATCCAAAAAAATTATATCTTAGAAAATAACCAAACCCACTTCATTTTCCATCCCAGCACTAAGCTATACAAACTCTAACAATATATGGTGATCATCACTCAGTCCCCCTTCCTCCTGAAGAAGCACCCCTCAGTCAGTCTGGCACACCTTCCCATTGGCTGACACAATTACAACAGTTTTCAAGCCCTGGTAATTCACATCCATAAAGAATGCATTCAGTGACTGCACAATACACTTGAGTTCGTACCTCCTTATCTCTAGCTCAACCGGAGGGTTGATCAAATCAATATTGTTCAAAAGAGCACACTTTGGCCAAAACCCTAGAATAAGCCTCCAAAAATCAACAACTGTTGCAGCAAGTAGAATGGGAGAGCTTATATTTGACCCATTTGATAAAGGATCCATAGGTCCTCTTAATTCCCTTCCAAGTCAAGCACCCAAACGGGATTGTTTCTTACACCAGGTCCTAACAACCATTTAGTTAACTTAGTTCCAATTAGGCACCTCCATCTACTGCCCACCACACAGTTATATTTCCAATGGCACTTATGCAGGCTCCATTCACCTTGGGAGAAGAAATATTGTTCCAATCAACCAAATGATTTTTGTTTTCCTCCCTCTACAACTCCCACAAAAATCCCTCTGGATTCTTTCCAATTCAACCCCCCACAGTAATAGGGAAGATTTGACAAACCACTCTCTTTATAAGCCCACCAAAATGCGAAATGTAGACATATTTATACTAGTAATTTGCAAAATAGGAAAACATACCATAAGAAAGATTCAAGACCCTCACATGCATAATGAGGAAGAACTGTGTACATCATTAAGCATATATACTGCTTGTCAAAAGGGTATAATAAATTCCATCATTGGCATCTAAAGTGATCATACTTCATCCTTCAAAGTCCTTTAGAATGGAGAAATGTGAAACCAGCTTCCTTTTATTTTATTTTATTTTTATCAATAATGTAAAACCAGCTTCTTCTCAACCCTCCCAATAAAAATTCTAGACAATAGTTCTTATCAAATAGAGATCTAATCTTCTATATCTACATGCACCGACATAATAAAGCAGACAGGAAATTCCATGAGAAAATGTCACATCCACCAAAGCCTCTAATCAGCCATGAGGACAAAAGCACAATCAGATCCTCAGAGTATCCAGTTCCGATTGAATAAGACAACAAATTGAGACCACGATCGGCATAAGAACACACAAATGGCAATGCAAGAACAAATGACAGATGAGAGAAAGGGGGGATGCTAGTACCAAATATGAATCTTTTCAAATTGCATACAACCAATTGTATGGCAACATCTCCTCCAGTATTATGGAAGTGTTTGCAATAGAAAGTTAAACATAACATGCACTTCAACAAAGAGAATGTCTGAATTTGGGAATAATTCCACTGAATTGCATACCAATCATAAAGAGAAACAAGTGACAATGAATTACATAAAAAATGGCAGGGAATAAAGTTTTATATTGAAAAATGTATCAAGGACGGTGCCTATATTTAAGAACAAAGTTGTAATAACTACAGAGGGATTAAACACATGAACCACACTATGAAACTTTGGGTAAGAGATCCAATTTGGCCTTATGCAGAGAAATCAACCATGGAAGCCATGTTTCTTTTGAGATGATTGATAGAAAAGTTCAGAGAGAAGAAGAAAGATCTTCATATGTTGTTCATTGATCTAGAAAAGGCTATTGATAGAGTTCCCAGAGAGATAATATGGTGGGTCTTGGAAAAAGAAAGGGATTCAAAATAGGTAATATAGACCTTATTAAAGATATGCATGAGGGGAAACATCCACTGTTAGAAAACCAGTGGAAGAGACTTCTGATTTTACAATTAATATGGGTCATCACCAAGATTCAACACTTGGCCCTTATCTTTGAACTAATCATAGATGAATTGAAACATATTTGGGAGGATGTTCCATGGTGAATGTTATCTGTAAATGACATTGTTTTAATTGATGAAACTAATGAAGGATTAAATGCAAAATTAAGCTTATAGGCAAATGCCTTAGAAACAAGAGGTTTTAAAATAAGTATGACTAAAATAGAGTATATGGCATGTAAATTTAGTAATAATAGGAATGTAAATCAAGATTCACTTAGGATTGGAGACCAAAAAGATAACTCAATGTGATCATTCCCAATACCTTGTTTCAATAATTCATAACGAGGGAGAGATTGAAGAGTCCACCCAAAGAATTAGAGCAAGGTGGACAAAATGGAGGGGTGCATCTGGACTTTTATGTGATAAACAAATACCGCTTAGATTAAAAGGAAAATTCTATAAAACAGTTGTGAGGCCAGCTATGTTGTAAATGGCAGAAATACGAATGCTAAGAATGGATGAGTGGAAGAACTAGAAATGATAGGATTAGGAATGAAGTTACTCGTAGGAACCTTGGAGTAGCTCCAATAGGTGATGAATGGTTAGGGCACGTGCATAGAAGACCACCAACTATGCTAGAGGTGATATGTTACACATTGAAGGGGCTAGAAGAGATTGGGGTAGACAAAAAAGGACATGGGTAGTAGTAAGAAATAATTTAAGCACTAATAGTTTAGCAGTGGATATGGTTTTAAATAGAATGGATTGGTGAAACAGGACTCATGTAGCCAACCCCATATAGTAGGGATATGGCATGGATGATGATGATGATGATTGAAAAATATACCAAGAACACTGAAGAATTTCAATTTAAGCTTACCTCCTCAACAAGTTCTATGAGTGTAAAATCTGACTTTTCACATTTGCTCTTCAAGAAGACATTTTCCTTCTTGAGTTCCTTTATTGATTTTGCCATCTGGTTTTCAAATAAATAACAAGTAAATGGTGAATAACTATATTAACTTAACAGTGAATTACTTTATTGTGTTGTTGCATAAAAATGCAAAGCATTGATGCAGAAAACATATTAGAGATGTAAAAGTTTAGATGAAGTTTACCTTCTCAATTTCTTGCTTAAATGTTTCAAATACTTCATTACTTTTCATCAATGCATCCTGCACATAGTTTGCTTTTGAGTCCTGTAACTAAATTTACTAGATGCACATCATGAGGACATAATTAGGAATACATAAGTGATGGCAGGATATCCATAACCTGAAAAAAGTCTCTCAGTGAACATCACAAGGGATTGGAAACCTAAATGCTATACATAGGATAAGAAAGAGCACACAAAGAACATGGAATAGTTCTTATCTCAGGGAGGCATATCTGAAGTTTGTATATAAAATCAAAAAATAAGCTCAAGCAGTAAAACTTAAACTTAGAAGTGAAGACTCCCAACCTTCAGGTCCATTCATCATGGCCAGTGTTATATTGATTTTGATTACCTAGTTTGACAGGCAGTGTAGCCTGGACACAGACACGGGAGTTGCTATCCAACAGTGTCCTAGATTCTTACTCAACAATATGAGAAAACATGGACTCATGGACATGTCTATGCAAAAATACTATAAAAATAGTTTATGGATTTTGAATTATAACAGTAGATAACAACCAAAATGGGGTCATAATTTTAGACCATTCCAACAACCCTGCTGGACATTATTGGATATAGCAATGGTAATTCACAAGATAAGCATTACATCCTGAGTCTCTATCCAGTGCCATCAGAATATGTCTTATCTTGTGAATGAGAGCCACTCCTCTAAAAATGTAGAGAGACAGCAAGAAGTAAGCCTCCCTTTCTATACCACAGAAGAATGCAAAGATCAGAAGCCACCGCTTCATGGGCTCCACCTCCTAGTACAACACAGTTCAACAACTGACCTGGTCAAGGAAGCATTATCACCTGTGTGTGTGTGTGTGTCTTCTGAAGGCATCTCCTTTATGGAAACGGAGAAGTCAGATGTTTATAGTAACAAGTCTGAAACAAGTGCATATACAGATGCATGAAGGTGATCATACCTGGAATTGTTGAAACTTTTCTCCATCAGCTGCCAACTGCAAGCGCAAATTCTTTTCAGTTGACAATAGCTGTGACACCTGTTCGGCATACAATTTCATCTGGGATTGTTCCTGAGCCAACTTTTCTTCATGTTGCTGAAGTTTTAAATCAGCAAGCTGAAGTTCCAATGTTTTCTGCTTTAGCTGCACAGTCAAGTTGGGTAAGAAATTTTGGATTCCTATTTAGAAGTGATACATGCATCCTAAATGATAACCTACTGGGTCCTGAAACCACAAATGCAACATGAACAATGTCATCTGGATCAAACCTTCTGCGTGAATTGCTGTTCAGACACGGCATATTGGTCAGCAAGTTGTTTTAATTTGTTCCTCAACCTGGAAATGAATATAATGTCTATTACTTTACATTAAAGATACAATGATTAATGAATGTGCAGTTTCCAGGAAGCAATATGTTAGAAGATTAAAAAACTGAAACCACAATGAATGGCATCGTTCTAAACAGAAAGTGGAAGTAAAATTAACAGCTTCACAACAGAAGGTTGGAGAAATAACCAATACTGAAGCTCTCAATTTCAACAGGTACTTACCCTCAAAAAAACATACATACAAGGGATATATTACTGAAAATTATATTACCAATTCAAAGGAACCACCGACCCAGGACCCAGACCCTTTTACTGGTCAATGAACAATCCAAGACTCATTAACATTGTTAGTAATAGATTTTTCCTGCTTTAAAACTCTTTTATTTTCTTCTCTTTCTCCCCAGCACATCATTTATTTTTACTTTAATTAGAAAAAAAAAAAAACAACTGAAAGACAGCAGCATGGTGCTTTTGAAACATCTTTAATGGCCTTGGCATTATTAGCCTTATGAATAAGAAAGTGGTACAAGAGTTTTTTTCCCTTCTTTGAGCAACAATGATCAAAGAGGTTCTATTAATTGATAAGAGAAGGCACAAAAATGTGCACGTTATAGACCAGTTCTGAAAAAAAAAAGTACATGGACTTACAAACATAAAAAAGCCTAGAAGTTCATCTCATGTCATACAAAAGGCATACCATACACTAGGGGTGATCATGAGTTGGGTCGAAACCAGGTCTTCGTAAGGGAATAAGGGCCAAAATTTCTACTGATGATTTAATGAAAGTGTTATAGATCAAAAAAAAATAAGGGCCAAAATGCCAGCCTGGACCTCCAGGCCAGTTGAGTTCACCTTCTTCCCTGTTCTCACGTTCAAATTATTAAAATACCATTCACCACCAGGCAGACTAGTCCTTTCCAACCTAGGATGGCTGACATCCTTATTTTAAGTTGGGTACAGTACCTAAAGTGAGTCAAACATTAATTAAAATATATATACGCGTATTATCTCAGTTTATGTATACACAATATTGGTCCCAGCCATCTGGGATCCTGGGAGGGGTGGATACAGATCTAATCTTTGGCACTTTTTGCACAAAGTGGTCTGACATGCTCAGAAATTTCCACGCAGGCCAGTTATGGTTGTCCCGCATGTATTGCAATGAGGATTTGTTGTACAACCTTCCCTTATTAACTTCATCCTTGCCAATCCATCAACAAACGGGTTCAAATTCATATCACTAGGAAGCCATCTCAAAATGGTGGAGTTGGCTTGGCTGTTTGGAAAAAAAAAGCCTGGGCTGTTGCGAAGCTTTCTGCACATGTTGTCACACTTAGTTCTTTATTTGCCTTTTTAATTAAAAGAATATTGATTGCAATTGCTCTTTTACCCCACCCAAGCTAATGTGGCATGCACATGAAGCTTCAAAACAGCCCAGGCTATTTTTTTACTAACAGTTGAGCCTTTCCTCAAAATGGTCATGCAGGGACCCCAAAAAGTACATAACTTCGTTCAGATTGGCCTAAATCTTCTTGTAGTATTCTTCTTTGCATTGCATTCCTTGTGTAACTTAAGAATGCCATATCATGTACCAAAGGCCCTTTATTGTATTGGGGGCTTGCCAATACGCTCATCGCTCGATGTGGGGTGTTTTGTATCGAAATTTTGAACCTTGCTTATAGTTTTTTTTTATGAATAACCTTGCTTATAGTTGATCATTTAGAAAGGTATTATCAAGATGGTGAATGATTTCAAACTGTATTTTTGCTTCAAAGTTGGCAATGGTCGTAGGGTCCACCTTTGGGAGGATGATTGCTACAGTATAACTATGAATCTGGACGTGCTAGTAACAAACAACTCTAGACAAGTCATAATTTTGTGTTACCTGTCCTCAACATATGGGAATTAAAAAAAAACAATGTGCACAAGTTCATGTTTCTCATGTGCTGAGGAAAAGATGCACCTGCACCTAGCGTTGTTCTGTTACTAGAAACGCCAGACTGTGCTATGAGAAATTTGTCTTTATAGATATGAGGTCAAAATCCACCCTAGCTGTTCCAAGAATGAATGTTTCCAAGTTCTACCAGGTGACCAGGGGGAAAAGGTACTATTGTACCATATTCTGCAGATTTCTCTTTCAGGGAATTAAATGACTGCCTACATCTCTCCTTAACCCTTAAAGATTTGATCATGCTTCCTTCACAGGCTGATTATATATGATCTAGAAGTGAGAGTTTTAAGGATAGACTTTTCTGTTAACTCCTTCAATATTTTATTTTTTTTTTAATTGGTAGCTCATTCAATAAATTCCTTCCCATATGCTTTACTTGATGTTTTAGGACTAACAGTCATACTTTATGGATTTTAGTTCCTTTTGCAATTGCAGGGAATCAAACAGAACTACTTCATTTCAATAGGTGCAACAACTAGGCAAAAAAAAACCGGGGATAGTATGTAAAAATATTTTGATGGAGAAATTCTTTCCTTTCTCCTTTTCTGCCTATATTTCCATATTTAATATGGCATCTTTCCAGCTGCTTATTAAAGGGCATGCATCTAGACTTTGTTGTTTCTAAAATGAACCAGCTTTATGTGTAACACAAAATTAAGAAAGTATAATAGTCAAAACACAAAATCAGTGTTGTTAATAAGGCATATAAAAAACTGGAAAAAAAATACTATCATAACGTTTCTCAGACTCTTACATCTCATTATCCTTGAATTGAGAGAGACATTCATCCTTTTGTTGTTCAAGCTTATTACTGACATCCTAGAATATCAAAAAGAAGGAGTCACCACATAAAGAAGGATGAATTAAATGAATAAATTTTAAATTGATGTGAGAATTCTTAGAAATAAAGAAAAGAAAAGCAAATACTCGGAACAGCAAAATGAAGAAGAGAAATCATCCATGAAGTGAGAGGACTCAGAAGAAAGAAAGAAAGGAATCTAGAGCATCATTTAGACCCTTGTAAAAAATGCCATAATGATGAGACAAAATTGTGAGTTGAATGTGATAACATCTTCATGTTTAACCAACAAAAAAAGAACAAAAAGATTATTATTGGATGTCAAACCAATTAGTAACTTGAATTTGAACCATGTGGCATCATAGAAATACAGAACATTTAGAAAAATATGGGAAATAAAATCTCACATGGATGATTTTCCTAAAATAATCTGAATTATAGACCTCATTGCTTAGTATGCAAAATGCAAACCAAAATACAAAGCTACCTGCTGAAGGAATTGATGATTACTAAAGGGTATTTTTTATAGTAAAACAAATTTCATTAAAAGAAAATTGGAAATACGAGAGAAGGTGATAAAAAATCACCCGAAAGAGAAATAAATATTTGCAATAACAATAACCCAACATCCAACCAGATCAAATCAAATCACTCCTGAAAATACTCCATGGCCCATGCCAAAACAATAAAAACTCCTTTTGTCCCAGATCAGAATCAAACATAGCAACAACCTCATCACCACCAATCTTCAACTCCATACTTTTGCTCTCAGGAAAAAAAAATCATATACTCAACACAGAATCAGCAATACCTATCCAGTTCACATTCAAATAAGAACCCCCTAATGTCATAAGCTGTGCTGTCTTCTAGTACCAATCAGATCGCTATCCACAGATTCCATTTTTTTGGAACCTTGATCAGAATCCACCAATTTCCCATTATGAGCCTTAAAAAGCAAAGACTTTTGAAAATAATGATGTAAGACTCAAACTAGACTGGACAGTTGGGAAATCTGGGAACTGGAAGCTATTCTGGTGTTTTGATACTCCAGCTTTTCAAATTTCTGGAAAACCAACCAAAACTGTCAAAACCCAGGTCACTTGTATCAAAAGTTAAGAAGAGGATTATCTAGCCACACACACACATGCACATCTGATACCCCCCTTCTTTCACTACCTATTTGATCTGTTCCTTCCTGCAAATCTTTTCCTTTTTATTCCAACTCCTTAAAAATCCATCCAGCTGCCTCTTCTCCACCTACAAATAAAGCTACCAATGCCTTGCCTACTTTGTACTTCTCCTTCAACAACATTATCAACATAAACTGATTTCTTTGACTTCTGAACAGCTGGACAGCTGGACCTCATCAACTACGTCTTCTTTCATCCTCATTTGGAATCAGAAGGCCTTTTGAGGCGACCTAGTGTCTTACTTCATTTATTTTCTTTTTTTTTTTACTTGCTTTCTCTCAATGAAACATATTTTATGTTCCATTAAATAAAAATAACAACAGTGGCAACAATAAGAATAATTAGTTTTATTATTCATGTAATATCTTTTACTCAACAAATTCATGATCTTTTTGGTTTTTAAATCATCAGATATATCTAATACAGAAACTATTGCACTCTGCACCATGAAATCAGAAGTAGAGGAGAGTTATTAAGGCCTAGCTGTGGTCCTTCATTTCCAGGTCCCTCTCTCAGTATGGCTATAATAAGAGGCCTTCTAAGACATTTTCCCCTTAACTTTAGACCATGAATTATGATAGGTAAATATTCATTTGAAACATTTTTTGAATTCAGATGGACAATATCAATTTTGGTTGTTCTTGTAATGTCATTTGCTTGATTTCAGTTGTTGGCATAGCAAACAATTAGCATTTCAGTTATAAACAAACTAATTTACCTGAAAAATGAGTGAGCCTTTTTAACTTAAAACCCAGGAATTATAGTCCTTAAGGTGATGTTAGATAACAGCTGAAGTACACTGAATATAGAATACATAGGAGACTCCAATTTAAAAAAGGAAAAAAAAATCTCATTCAACATCTCTGTAACTCACCTCCTACTTATTTGTGGAACAATGAAGCACTTGGCACACAGTGATTATTCATTATACCTCTAAAAAACTTACAATATACCAAAAATACGCCTTAATTTGAACTCTTCTTTCAGCCACTATTTTAACTGTTGTCAAACACTGCTGGAGTTTCATAGCAGTTTCCAAACGGCTCCTTAATATAACAAGTAGATGCAATATATCCATTGTTACTTTTTTTATAATTATATATCCATGGTTACTTCTCAACAGAACTGTGGAAGTCATGGGAGATGTCTGGGCACATATGAGAACCAACATAAAAGATATAACTTCTATCTAACAAGGTTCATCCTGCATTCCCAGGCCTATTGCGATTTGTTTCCTATAACTCCATTTGCTCACATAGAAAGGCAGGCACTGCATAGACACCTAAGGTAATAGCAGAGATTTGTGCAAACCTTAATTGCATCATGAAATTTGGTTGACAAATCTAATCTCATATTCTGCCCCTCTGTTGATACTCTTTTGCATTCATCCTGCAAAAATAAAAAAGAAAAAAGCAATAAGTATCCATCAGCATCTTCCAAACCACACAGAGGTTTACATTTTTTGGTCAATACCCAATGATCAAAAGTCCTTTATTAATATAGGAGGGTAGAAAAATCCTGAAGAGGCTATGTGGCATTACAAGAATGAAATGAAGAAATTTAGTTGGTTGACAAGGAATATGTTGGTCACTGTACAGTGGGTGGGGAGATCAGCAAATACTTTGTCAGATGTGTTAGCTAAGCAAGGGGTAAATAGGGAAGAATTGTTTTGGGCTCAGT